GAGCGAGCAAGTCACGATGGATTTGTAACAAAAACTTCTAGTGATTTTCGGCAAGTCGAGCCGGAATATGAAGGTACGCGTTATCAAAGACAAGAAATGCCGCAAGATACATCGATTTTCTTCACGAAAAGTTTTATGTTAGAATTCGCGGAACCTGTACCGAGTGCTTACAATGAACAAGTAACTCATAATGAACCCACAATGAAAGTTTATGATGAATTTAAACGGGTAGGATCGGAATTTGAAATTGTACAGGAGAAAGAAGAAGCAGAAGATTATCGACGTATCACGAAAACACAATATGACATTAAAAATCAGTTTGACTTTAATTGTTCGCCAGGCCGGTTCAATTTTGAAGTCCATTCTTTAGAAAACAACGAAGGTGTTCTTGATATGGCAGAATGGAATCGATCAAAGAGTCCTTACCCGAAAGAAGCCATCGATACGTCACATTTTATTGAAAGAATTCAAAATGACGTTACGGAAGGAGCTTTATCGTCTCAGACTTCGGAGCCGTACGGGAGTGGAGATCACAGTCGGTCATCCTGTACCGCAAAAACGTATTTACAGAAGGAAACATTCTCGAGTAGAAGACCTCAGACTGGCATTGACACGCCGGATAAATGCGATCAGGAAATTCTAACAAAAGTTCCTACGCTTGCGTTAAATTCGCAGGATATCTCGTACTCGACATCAGCAGGCAGCCGAGAACGTTCCGCTACGCAATCTCTCGATCCCCACGCATTGATCAAAGCTTTATCAGATGTATCTCTGAAACAGGAAAAACAGGTCGACGATGCGTCAAGAAAACGCGAGGGCTTTTATCACGATAAGGATACGATCGATGCATCGAGCGGAGCTTTGGATTTTCCCACGAAAGGGGAAACGTGGCGCGTACCAAGATCTTCGACGTTAGAGTCGCCTAGAAGATCGCTGTCGCGTATTCCTTCCAGGATACCCGTCAGGATCCCCAGTAACAAGAATCTATCAGGCAATGACTCGGGATGTTACAAACCAGAGAATTCCAAGGAGATTGCCATTTACGAGGAGTCGAAATTTATCGAAAACAGCGTTCCGTGCGAAAGTATCGTTCATCAAATGAATTCATCGTATTTTGAAATCTGCAAACAGAATTCGCTGAGATCGAGGAACGAGAGTACAGGTCCATTTGCGCCGGACGATGAGGCGGCGGAATACGAAATCAACGATCACGCACTTAAGGGAAATTTAGCTTCCTCGAGTCTACGGAGTCCCCAAAGTACATTGTTTGGCGATTACGCTTATGATAAAATGCAACATCTGTCCGAGAGCAAATTTAAAGAGAGTTGTTCACCTGTGTTCTTCCACAAAGCAGCTTACTCCAGCGATCGAGATTACGCTAAGATCGATGACGACGTACGATCGAGATCGGATCGGAGTACATCTCGGAAAAGTGTGGACACTATGGACGTCACAAGCGCTACCGAATCGCCAGGTCTGTCGAAGTACAAGAAGGATGAGTCGTTTCGAATCGAGTCGTTGAGAAATGCAGAGGAGAACGTTATTTGGAGAACCGAGGATGAATCCGGATCAATTAATGATGAAGAAAATCTTGAAAACGTAAAAGATTACACAACGCATGACAAAAAGTCAAAAGGACTGTATCTGCAGGATAACGAACACTACAAATTGGCAATAGGAAGAATGTGTGAACCATTGTCGTTCAGAAGCCGATATCTTCAATTAAATTCGCCATCGGAAATCCAGAAAAGCGGTAGAAAGCGAAATCATGTTGGCGATAATCCTGAATTTAACGACAGGTTGAGCTTCGATCAAAATCTAGAAGCATCTAAGAACGCGACATTAGAAAATTTGACGTTTCATGTCCACAGGACGCAGGATCAGTCCAACTTCGCCGCGAGAATGTCTTCGTCGACGTTAAACTTGAATTGCGAGCCTAAGAGGAAAAAGAAGAAGAAGAGCCAGGAACGTTTTCCTTTCACAATTTCGGAGGCGTCGGAAGCGATGTCAGTTGAACACGAGGATACAAACGATTATCAGTCTCCTGATAAAAATCTTAGCCGTACAAAAATGGACGATCATCTGCGAGAAAAGACCGGCTACCAGCTGAAGGTGCATCCTAGTTTAACGAGACTGGCCACTTCAGGTGTGGAAGACACCGTGGCGGATATTCTGTGCTGTGTTGCAGAGGAAAAAAAGGAGACTACGACGTCTTCGAAGTCTATGATAAGGGCGTTCGTTCGGATATTTTCCTTGAAGCTGAAAAAAGCACCAAAGCAGCTGAATGATGACAAAACTTTAGAATCGACCAAAATCATTTACGAAAATAATGCTTGTCGAGAGGACTCCAAAGCGAATAGTTGTTCGGATGATTCGTCATCAAAGGAAGTTTATAAAACATATTCCAACAATCGTTGGACCGATCATCACGCTGCGAATCCTATGCTCGTCTCCACCTGGGAAACCCTGAAGAAGACGGAGAGTCTCCAAGCGATCGTTCAGAAACATCCTCACAGACGATTCGATAGGGACGATTTGTGGGTGCAAGACATTAAGGATTCTTCTTTCGACGAGAAGAAAGATAGCGAAATGTTGCAAAGGAATGACAAAGCAGACAGATCAGAAGAAAGTTCTGCGAAGGATCGCTATTCGATTTTTCTCGCGAAGAATCTCCAATCTAATGAGCCATCTGCGTCTAATCATATTTCTCCAAAAGAACAACAGGACGTGATAATTTCTGGTAACGTGACATCAGATGAGAAAAGTAAACAAAATATCGACCGAAAGGTTCCGCCAAATCTTATCTCCGAGACTGAAGAAGTAGAGGATTTGACCGGTTGCTTCTGTTGGAGGATATGTCACATATTTGCGAAATCCAAGTATCGTTCACCAGTAAAGGTGCAAGTTTCAGCCTCGAAAACGAAGAAATCCGATTCCCTGCTGCAGAAAAGAAAGAAATGATTACCTACAATATTTAGAAAATATTTAGAAGTATCGGCAACTGATACTTTCGCTCAACCACACTCAACTTGACTCAACCGGTGAACAAGAAATAAATTGCAACTCGATACTTTCATGGAAGACACCAGACGGTAACCGGATACCAGTTCTTCATTGTCGACTGAGAGAAAGTATCCACAATCGATACTTGGTAGTATTCTTTATTCGTTTGACGCTACATAAAAAAGATCGCTGCATTTTCGCGCAGCGGCACTTTGTACATATAGAATTAGTTGGCATTAAAACGTAACAATTACATTTATCAACAACTTTGTGTAATTAGCATCTTCTATACAATTTCCTCGGAATAATTCCGCTAATTACACGTACGTGGCAGAAAAAAATTTTGGACAGCTCGCATCGAAATTTACTTTTTAAATAAAATGCGCAGGAAACGAGAATACTGAAAATATACTTAGGATGATCACGAGGATTTGATAACCGGAGATGTGGCTTCGGTGGCAGCGTAATCGAAGCCCGTCGTCGATTCATGTTCTTTATTTATTCGCCGTTCGTACATATTTCACTTGTTCTCAATAATAATTGTTGCGTGTGTATGTGTGTGTTGTGTCTGTTACACGGGTTACTTCCGTACGTCATATTTATACACGAGTAAGAGTCTTTGCCGTAGATGCGCAATTATCGCAGTTTATCGCCTTAATAAAACGTTTCTTCGCTACGCATTAACTTATTATCATTATTATCGTTATCATTATAGAAAAAATAAGTCTTTAAATAATCACATAAGAGTCGTCGAGAGCCTTTCGTGAAGGGACGCGGGAAAGGAACGACGAGGAGAGGAGGGAGAGGAGGAAAGGGAAGGATCGCGGTATGTGGGTATGCATACATTCATGCATATTTGCGTGTATATATGCGTATAAACGCGTACGTGTATGAAGTGTACAGCATATGTCACATATGTGTATGTGTGCGCGTAAAAGTACATACATGGACGCATGCACGACGAAGGGACGGTGAAGACGCGGGTTGTTGGAACGGGGGAGGCGGAGAAAGGAAGAGGGAGAGGAGGATAGGATAAGGCTGTCGCTTGAGAAGTAAACGCTGTTGGCCCTATACGGTACTTGCTTTCCGGCCCTGTTCGCGTCGTCAGGACAGCGGGAGCCGCGTGCGCTAAGCCTATAGAAAAAGAGCTACCTACCGAGAAGACCAGTCGTTTTCGCGTTTTTTTTTTCCTTAACCCTTTTCTCTTTTAGGACTACACACGAGAAACGCGACAATTACACGTTATTCCGCTATCGAGGAGGGACTTTAATCGATTCGATCATTGGGGAGGAGGAGGGGGGGATAAGAGGGCGGGAAAGGGAAAGGGGTACAAGGTAAGGGGGTGGGCGGTCGACGGCCGCCGTGTTAAGAGCGTAAAGAAAATCGACGCTAAAGGCAATGCGTTTCCGCGATCCACCTCGAGCGCTCTCATCTATCTCTCTTTCTCTCTATCTATCTAACTTCCTTTCTCCCTCTTCCCGTCGTCGCCGAGAAAGGAAGAGAAGCTTCGTCCGCCGGCACATGCCTCGCATACAATCGCGGACCTCCACGCGACCGCATGCGTTCTACATGCATTGGCACGATACGCATGCGTGCTCGACGTCAATCATACATTGCGATGCTCTTTCGTTCTCTCTCTCTTTCTCTTTCTCTCTCACTCTCTCTCTTTCTCTCTCGCCTTCCCGTCCGCGTTCATCGCATCTTCGAGTTAGCGATTTGCAAACTCCAGCCCCTATGCCATCGAGTAATTAACATCTGCGGGCACGCACGAAGCGAGACCTCTCGATAGAGATGGTAAATGTGACAACAACATATTTGTTATATTTATTAAGAAAATAAGACTAAATTTAAATGTAGAAATGTAGAAAAAAGTAAATAGAAATGTAGAAAAAAGTAAAATTCCATAAAATAATAAGCGCAATGTAAATAGAAAAGACTTAGGTAAGAAATCAAACAAATAAAGAGAGAATAGAAGATTCCATATTAGTTTCAATATGTTGGTGAAATAATAACTGAGCTACAGCTAGGTAAAAATGAGATGGTTCGAACAAAAGAAAATAGCTTTGTTTTCTCACGATGGAAAAATTAGTGTCTCCAACGGGAGTAAAAGACATGATAAGAAAGATCGTGAAAATAATCAGTGGCGAGATATCTGATACGATACGTATGTATCAGCTTGTACGCTGTACCGGTCGACCTTTCTTCGACGGACATCGAGCTAATTTAAGAGCTATACAGTTTTAATCATCTGATAAAGCACGAGGAGGGACGCGCTCGAGCGATTAACGTGGCGGCGGAATTATGTCTGTGTCCGGTTATCCCCATTGCGTCTCAAAGGTCGTCGTAGTGGCTTATCGAGGCGCGATAGCGAACACGGGCGAATTACGTTTCTAACGAGATTGTACGATTTGGCAACAATGAGCAATCATGGATATAGTATATGCGATAAGCGGACGAATCTTCGTCTTCCGATCTCGAAGCGCTCGAGACGCGATCCAGCAATCTCTTGCTTTTTCTGCTTCGTTTGCTCGCTTCGAGATTTACAAGGAACGTTCGTTCAGTTCTTTTTCATGCGTTCCACGTCGTTCTGATCATCGTCGTCTTCGTCGTCATCTAGGCTCGTGCTGCCGGGACGGGGCTTCTTGTCGGGGAAACGACGTCACAAGGGGGGTGGAATGGAAAATTCCCTCCGCACGTAGAACAGAATGTAAGGCTTACATTTAGCAACAGCGTCGGTAGTTGCGGGCCGCACCGAGCTGTCATTAAAATGGAACCACTGGCCGTCATGCACGGCAAAGGCAGTGTAATGTCCAGTACCGGCACTGCAACACATAATTTTAAAATGTAAGTACAATTATCAACAAACACTCCTTTTCGTTAAAGCTATGCACATTTCTGAAATTGAAAGTGAATTCGACTGGACGCATAGCGCAAACTGGTTCACATTAAATTTTTTGCATTTTACTTTTACACTCAGGTTAAATCAGTGTACCACGGCTTCAATGTGTACTAGTACGTTCAACCGAATTCGCTAAATGTTTAAATTTCAGACATATTTTTGAAATATTTAATTACTGACTGATAAAGTGAGATGTTCAAACATATACAATTAAAAATTGATTGTCTAGGACAAAAAGAGTTATATGGATGATTTTTTTCAGTCTATTCTTCAAACTGGTAATACTAGTTTCACAATTTATTGTCCAAATATAAATTTTTAATTTTAACCGTAATGTGTACTAAAGCTAAACAACAGTTTGGAGAAATCATCGACAATTAGTTGACTGTACGTAACAGTAGAAATTTATTTATTTTCGAAATTAAGTAAGTGATATTGCAAGCATTGCTGCGCAATTTAATAATCGTTAAATACATTCGTGAGAAACGGTAGAAGTAATATTTCAAAATATAGATTACATAGGAGACAATGCTATCTTATCGCATATCAACGTTGCGCGTTAGTTGCTACTATTACGGGGAAAGTTTCGACATATTTCCATCGTCGGATAACCGGTTTAATTAGAAGCGTTGTCAGCAAGGGGACGTACCCAGAACCATGATGCACGATAACGGCAGCCAAGTCGTAAAGATGACTATTCTGAGCGCCCAATCTCGTCCCGGTCACGCCGCGCACGGTGAACGCTGACATGTCGAGAGATTCCATCGGGAAATCCACCTGCGTGTCCACCTTCGAGCGATAGGAATTGCACCACCTAAATCTTTTAATGTGAAGGCACAACACCTGTGGAAAGAGCGAGAGCATCGTGTGAGCATCGATTAGCGCGTCATACGTCAGACTTATTTCTCTGCTCGATCAAAGTTCTCTTTTCGGGTCACGCTTGGTTCACGCGAACTATATCGATCGGAACACGCACGTCCACGAATAAATTAAACGTTTAGCAAAATTAGGATGTCGAAAAAATCGATGCACGTTAGAGAAGTGGAGGTGCAAAGAAGATTTTAAAAGTTCAGGATTTTAACTTTTTTTTTCGGAAAAGTTGTAAGAATTCCTTTGTACTGAAATTTCTTGAAAATAAAATCTCAAATCGAATTTATTTTATTTTTATTGAATGCGTTATTTTGAAAGATAGGAATAGGATACTCACGTTAGGCAGCCTGTGTATCCAAAACCTCTTGGTAGACCTCTGTTTGCCCATGCAGTTGTCGCAGAAGTAGAGCTCGCTGTCGGCCAGCTCTTCAACCTTAAAGAATCTCGTCAGACTGTAAGTCAAACTGCACACTTCCTCCTGCTCCTTCGTCCTGCTTCTCTGCAGTCGGTCCGGTATGTCCAGCGAGAGGTCTTGGAAAGGCTCGTGCGTCTTCGAGTCCGTACGACAGTTCATACAGTGGACCTGCGCGAGGAAACGCGATCCATAATTCGTCCGCGCTTCTCCCAAGAAGAAAACGAAGAAGAACGTGACTTTGGCAAGCGACACCAGTCTCTCGAGAGCGCAGAAATTCCCTCCTGCCAAAGAGGCTGCGAGGACGTTCGTTTCGCACGCAATCGAGACTCGCTGTCTGGCGATCGGGTCGTTCAACTTACCACGCTAAGAAGAGTGCCTCCAAACACGGCAGTGACAATACTCTGTTTGCCGCGCAATCCTAGAGGTTCGTGTCCCAGCCTGGGCAGCAGCTGTAGCAGCTCGGTGTGCAGTCGGTCGAGCATGTAGGTGAGAAATTCATGGGCGTCCTGCTGCTGGTAGCCCCGAAATCTCGGCACGACCTTCCAAATGGCCAAAAACAGGCACTCGGGCGATATTGCCTGGCCATTGGAACCGCCCAAGCTTAGACCGAGTAGCACCTTTCGTAGTTCCTCGGCGAGGAGAGCGTCGCTCATGGACATCTCTTTCGCGCGACCCGGCGTTACGATGCGGCCGCGGTGCGTAGGCGGCCCCGTAGATTCGTCAAAGGCGATACCCTCGAGACACGGCATCTGCGTGAGATACTCGCAGAAGTGGCTGATGTTGTTGAAGGATTGCAGCACCACGTTCATGAAGCAGGTGTTACCGAGATTTCTCAGACCGACAACCTTTTTCTCTTTGGTACTTTTGGAGCTGCGACGCTTGGCCGGCCGATTATCCGCGCTGCTGGCGTCCAGCGAGTGTAACCTCTTGCGCGCCGTCCTCGGTCGTAAATTCCTCACGACCACCTCTGCCTTCCACAAGGCGTCCGGATCGTTGTCGTGATCATCGCCGCCGTCGTCCCGCGTTCTCGAAGATGGCGGTGTCGTGGGCGGTGACGTGCTCCAACTTTCATCGTTCTCCTTGTGCTCGTCCTTACGAAAGGTGACGCGTCGTATCTTCTCGATCTGGCCATTCGTGGTGTCGTTCACCACGTATTCGTCGCAAGTGTAACTGGAAGAAGCGAAACACGAGACATGCAGTTTTTAGAATAGAAACCAATAACATTCGTGTTCGTATTACGATAAATGAAGAACTCTATACTTTTTGATCTATCAATAAACTTATTGATTTATTCATAATAGATATTCATAATAGACATAAATAGATCTTATTTCAAAAGTGACACGATTAAAAAGTTAAGTTTTTCTAAAAAGAGAAAAATTTTGATATTCCACAAAATTATAACAAATCCAAAATAATTCATCAAAAGTGATGAATTATTTTGGATACATAATTCGTAAAATCACCAACAGTTTATATTTACTTTAATCAGCTAAAATGACTAAATTAAAAAAAAAAAAACAATTTTTTTCTTCAACCTTCGATTACCAAAACTGTCAACTCTAAACGTTCTTTTGTAAAAGACTCTCCTTTTTATTTACAAAAATGACACAACTCAAAATATGTCACTCTCGTAGAAGGTATCATGATCTCTTTGAAGAGTTATATAGTTTATGAAGTTTACTTTTGATGATTGATAGAGTAATCTTTATGTAATTCATTCATGTTAGTAATTCGAAAAACCTATTTTTTTAGTTGTGTCACTTTTAAAGTAAGGAAATGACAAATTTCGCGACAACTGCACGTGTTTTGTCGTGTCAGAAATCCAGCTCTCCGAAATTATATACTGGTTTCGGTAGGAGAGAGATACGCGTAGACAGTAGCATACGAAGATGGTGAAAGCGGAGGGATGTAAAGAAAAAATACTCACCAGAATACTGCCAAGCTCTCACAGTCTATGCACACGCAGTGCTGAGTATTAGTCTCGTAGTGCTGCAACGCGTGGCCTGCCACGTATCGTCCGCAGTGCACGGATCCGCAGTGCAGACAGAGCCAGGGACTCTTCTCGGTGCCGCACACTATGCACGATAATAATACGACATGTGAATGACAGTCGCAAAATAAGCTCAATTGATGCTATATTATCAATAATGAAATAGAGAAATCAGCATGTTGCACACGCACGTGTGTGTGCGGAGATTAAACCCGTGGTTTTAAAAATAAAGTTTCACAATATTAAAAAGAAGTTTCACAATGTGTACTAAATATAATCAAAATCTGAATTAACGAAATTTATTATATGTATGTTGACGGTATCTCTTCTGTTATCATCAATTTCCTGCATCAAGATAAATATATTAAATAAATAAATATATTAAATAAATAAATATATTAAATATTTCGTTCAAGCATCTCAAAAGGCATTTGTTCCAAAAGTATCACATACTTTCGTAAATGTAAATATTTCGTTCCAGCATCTCAAAAGGCATTTGTTCCAAAAGTATCACATACTTTCGTAAATGTAAATGGATGTGATGGAAGCTGGTAGATTAAAGGATGTTGATGGAAATATGGGTGGAAAATTTCAGTTGGTTTATGATACTTCATTTAATATTAACAAATTTGTGTGCGTTTATATTATATTAATAGCAATATTCTAAGATATTTTATGAAGGATTATAGCATGTAAAATTATAAAGAATAATTGTCATCTGCTGCGCTTCTATTATCACGAATGTCACTTTAGTCTCAATATCATCGGTTAACGTTAAATGTGACCATTTTATTATTATCACAAGTAAAATGAATTCAATCTTTTTATAGATGAAAGTCGATATGAAATGTGATTGAATTTAGCGCTAAATATATATCTCTATAAAATTCCTGTTTCCAAAGTTTCGATGTAATTGATAGAATAATGATTTTTCTCTCCAAAGAGTCTCACATTTTAAAACGACTTCTGGCAATTATATATATATATATATGTATATATAAGTGAAAATATAAGAATCTTTAAAGATACAGGATGCTGATATTATATGATTATTCATAATATTTTTTTACTTCTATGAGAAAAGAAATCGATTTGTGTTCTAATATTTTAATATATTTTAAATAAAATCCTTGTTGCCTTTAGCAAAACGCTATATTTTAAAAAGATGCTAAATATCTATAAAAAATTATATTATGAAGGCTTAGAAAATTTCCATGTGCTAAACGAAAAACCATCGAATTTTTTCGTATCAAGTCAAGTTAATAAATTTAGAATGACTCTTCAAGAAGTTATCTGAAATTTTACAGAAATATCGTCAGATGTTTATAAAAAAATCTGTCACCCCCCCTCTCTTGGCAACTGAGAAAATTTCCACTCGAGTACCGATAGATTGCTAGAAATTTTCATTTTTGTTTCTACGTCTCAAATATTAATCACAAGAATTTTTCAAAAACTATACAACTCTTTATAAATTTTTGAAAAGAGGCCAAAGTTTTTGTTAAACTATATAAAAATTTCAACAATGGAACTTTACAGAGGTGCTAAACATGGCGCTAGTAACGTATATAAGTTTTAGCGGTAATAAGCTTTTAGTGCAAGATATATTACTTTTTCTTAAATAATTATTAACAATCTAACATAATCGGATCGACAACCATCCAGTCGCAGGGTATACTATATCTGGCGGTTGCGAAAGTGCAAGTCGGCTTCGCCGTGTCGTTTCGGCTCGTCTTACGTAATTCTCGAGAGACCGCGTAAAAGCGGGGTGCGGTGGCAAGCATGAGTTCGACACACCCCCTTCGCAATCGATCGATCGCAAAATGTCTCAGAATTTCATCGGGCTTCAGATTCTTGGTGATTTGTGTTAAATACGAATTTTATCCAGAAAACACGATTTTGAACTTATTCTCGCGAATAAAAAAAAAGGAGCACAACCTCGGTCGGTTTTATAATTGTGTAGGCGAGAGAGAGAGAGAGAGAGAGATTTATTGTTGTAACAAATATACTTTTGACGATTCCCGTATCTATCCTGTGTAAAAGTCTGTATTATAATTAAATAAAAAAGCAATAATTATACAAAACAAGGTGATTGGAAAAGGGTAATAAATCACATGATAATAAAAATTACGTTATTCAAAGAATTAATTAAGACAATAATTAAACCTTTATTATTATTATTATATTAAGGCAATTATATCTTTTCATATTTTTCGTGTAATACGGATATAATTCTTGTGTGAACTACAAGAGACAAGCGACTGTAAAATTGAAAAATGACGAGTGTTCAGAACTGGAATCCACTGATTCAGGCATCGGAAGGCAGTAAATCCGTCAGCGCTTTACATATGCAAAGCATATACAGACGTATTCAAATTTGCATTCGAAACCTGGCACAATCTTCGAATTTTTCCCAAGTCGCGTTATCGCATTCGCGAACAACGTCGTGATCTTATACAACAGGATGAAAAAAAGGAGACACTCCCCTAGAACGGAATTTAACAAGCGCGAATGCGTGAAAAGTGAAACGCCGAAAGTTCGTGCACGGAAATCCGATCTCGCCGAAGGTCGTTCCTATCTGAGGAATCGCGTTCCTTCTTGATGCCGATATAGGAAGCCTTAGAACAGACCGCAGTGCTCTATCGGCACGTTTTAATCAGCGACCGTTGCCATGAGAATCTCGTTCTCTCGCAAAGAATAGGAAGGAGTGAAACTGAGTAGGTTCAGTTCGCGATAAAATCTCACTTGGAACGACAGTTTTCCAAGATTGCTGGAGTAAAATCCTTTTAAAACTCCATTAATTCGTAAATACGTTTCACATAATGATCATTTTTCATTAGTCAAAAAGATCATTTTATTATTAGAAAATATACCACTATAAAACATACATTCTTGTGTGAATAAAAAACTACACATAGTTATTTGAAACAAATTACACATAGTTATTTGAAATAACTTTTGCAATGTCTTTTTAGAATTCTTGAAAGCAAAAAAAAAGACAATATCTCACGGACAAGAGCTAGTTAATATTGCAAATATAAATTATATACAGCAAAAAACTCTATAACTCTCCCTACTAAATCTTATCGTTCAGATTATATTGCGCAATGTAGTGGTATATATTAATCTTAAATTAACTTTTCCTATATATAGGTACATATATATTATACTTATATATTATAATGCACGCATATTAAGAAGCATGATATAAAAGGAACAAATTTGGCTGATTAAAATTAGTTTACCGAACAGAGGATACAAATTACTTTGTATCATCAAATTATGATTGATATTTCTTATATCCGTGTACAGATAAAAAAATATTGTTTGGCACAATCATTACTGCTGATGTCTACTAGAAATCGCTGTCGTTGGAATGACGTGGATAACATGAGATACGATGATGTTGCTCGGAAATGTTCAATGTGTCATTGTAGATAACGAATAACATAACAAGGAATGTTATCAGTCGAAAAATGCATAAAATTTTAGGGTGATAGTACACAATGTCGTTCGTACAGCATATTCGTTCATTCATTCAATGTCCGCTTGTTCAATAAAACGAATCTAACAGATCCTCGTGCACGCGAATGTTCCTTGTGGATGGTTAAAGTAACTATTATTACGAACGATGTAACAATGACGAACAAGAGGGAAGTGATTAAATAACAAAATCTTATTACTTATTCAAGTGCGCGAATCTTGTTTCTTCATCATTTTCAGTCGAGAGAGTCGAGTTCAAAGATACTAGCACATTAACACAGTTACTCGCACATTAAAAAGTAATAACGAGTATTTGTTCAAAGCATTTGAAATTAATGAAAAAATCTTTTGGCAAAGTAAACTTTAAGGTTTTGAGGAAAAGCATATATAGATTGTTTAATAATTCAAGCTAAATAAAAATTTTGCTTTCGAATATAAAAAATTTTAAGTTTATAACAAATTAAAGCAATACATACTTTTTGAGAGAAAAAATTTCGCATACGTCTAAATAAAAGGACCATTATCTCGGAAACGATAACAAATACGATAAAATGTCACAAGACAATTTAGATTTTTCTCGACAAGACCTACGAGGAAGGTCCTATGAGTGAAGATGACGAAGCCGTATCTATCACCGTTATCGAGAAAACGATCGCGAATATTTAGACCTGTGAGTGACGTTTTTTTTCAAAGAATATACAATGGCTGCGTCGGAAGCGTCGCTCGGATGCCTCCACACACACACACAAACACACACACACACACACACACACACACTCACACAAAATGCCTCGGATTCATCATCTGTCCTTGTTTAACATTAATGTTAAACAAGGACAGATGATGAATCCGAGGCATTGGTGGAGATATCCGTGCGACGTTTCCGAACGCAACCAAAGTATATATTTCTTATATAACTTTTCTAGTCTTATGAATGGTCCAGTAATTTTTTTTATTTATATTAATATAACATTCATAAAATGCGCGCCTAGAGAATTATTGAATCCATAGGAATAAGAGTTGGAGAGAAACCTGGAAATGCACGAGTAACATGCGAGGATTACGCTTGCGTCATAAACACATAATTCATGGTTCTTCGATCGCAAATCATCGACGATTCTCAAGAGAAACAGCGACACAATCGATGATTAAATTCTAGGATTATTTTTGGGACTTACGTCAGCGAGTGGAGATGCACGGGCGTTACCAGAAATCGAAAATTCCGGCAGAATCGAGACGACTGTTATATACGGAATACTGTCAAAATATGAGAAAGGGAAGTACCTATTTGAAGAAATGAGTCAGATGGCTTTCTTCCTCTTTACCTCATTGTCCAACTTTGTAACGTCCCGCTATGTTTATACTGAAAAATATATTAAATTTTAATAAATATTTGTTTGAATAATAAACTAAATATTTACTAAATATAAAGATGTTTTTTTTATAAATTATTAATTTACTCTCTAAAATTTCTAAACTGAGCTCATTCTGAGTAAAATTTCATTTTTAAAGATTAAAAATTGAACTACCCTTTACAAAATTAACTCAATTTTCAGTATTTAAAGTGAGATTCTGCTCCACAAAAAATTTAAAGAGTAACTATCA